TTTTGTTCTAATGAGTTTTATCTGTCAGCTATTACATWAATCTAACACTGAATTATAGGTATTCCTAGTTTTTCATTAGTTATCATAGATCATGATGTATTTTGAGGTTTATTTAAGCAATAAACGATAGATTGAAGTGGATAACTGGCGAAATAAACCACGCGGGATGGTTGGGAGAACACTAGAAAAGATCTGTTTAGAGTTGCTGTTTTCGAGTTGTTATTTTCGAGTTGTTTTTATTTATTTATTTATTCTTCCATTTGAAGATCCTGATGCTGTTGGCCTTGGAACACACTTCTTTAGCAATCAACGTTTTCTAAAACGCCTGTTTTTTTTTGTTTTTGTTTTGATGTTGTTGTTGTTGTTTTTTTTTTACAGAAAAAAAAAACGCCATCCACAGTCTACTCATCTCGTTATTAATAAAAATTAACCAAAGCCATCTCTGAAAGTCCCTTAATCAATTATATACACCGGATTTAATTAAAAATATTAATGAAAAAATAAAACAAATATTTGTTAGGGAACTACAATTGTGGTTTGATTGTAAAAAAAATACAAGGTATGATTAAAGCCAGTTAATCTTTTATTATTAGACASCGCTGTTAGGTGCTTCACCATTTCTTCTTTAAAAGTGTTTTTAAAAGCAACAAAAAAATTTTTTAGGGACCGTTCATTAATTAATTCGGAAGGAAAGGGGGGGGGGGGGAGTGTTGGAGAAAAGACTTGTGAGCTACAAAAATTTCCAGACCCCCCCTTGATAGCATTTATTTTTTTTCGGGACCCCTTCCAGATTGATGGAAAAAATTCAGGACCCCCCTGAAAATAAATTGATTTAAATTTTGCAAAATTAATATTTTAACAAACTGCAGACGGTTCTGGGTGATTTGAGAAAATRCGACTAGCCAATCAGCGCAAAGCTGACAAGCTTATGTTGTAAACATAACCCCCCGACGGGAGGAATTTTCACAGCAAAACTCGACCCAGTGGAGTAGGCTGCCTCTCATTTTATTGCCATCCGAATAATCAAAGCTAAAACGCAAAGAGAATCTTTATAAAATAACTTTTAAATGTCAATCAAATATTTATTGTTATAGAAATAGAATTTTATCTTAAAAATGAAATAACAAATATTTTTTTCTTTAATGCCAAGAGACTCCCCTCCCTGATAAAAATAATTGGTCTGTGTTCTACGCGGGTTCTCCATTGCATGCGAAGTAATGGCCGACTTCACGAAGACTTCAGAAGGTCGTTGAAGCGACTTTCAAGTCCAAAGTATCTTAGGAGGAAACATTGCAAATCCTTTTTCTTAGCTCTTATTTCCTCTAAGCTTTGAGGTACATACAACATCACTGGAAGAGCTAGAGCAGCTTAGCCCCACGTATTCCAATAGAGTTAAAGCGTTGTTATTTTTGGTACAAACAACTGTCGTAGTTCATCCTTTGTCGCATTTTCGGCAATAAGCCACCTGAAGCATGCTCGACGATACAACGGGTTGAGACGTTATGTAACAAGTCGGTTACACATTTACTAGCTTTGACCTTACAATGAGAGCTAGAAGGTGACTAGGATTTTTCGTGTAATGTCTTGATAGCGGCTGTTTATGTCGAAACGACTCAAAACAAAATTCCATCGTGAAAAAAGTTCGACTAAATTCMYATCTGAAAAACACGTKTGTATTTAAGGTGGAATATGTTTCATATGAGCATTCARTTCTTAAAGGTTTAATTCTATAATCATTTTGTTTAGTTATGTAAATAAATTTAATACGACTTGTACTGTTTATCTGAGTGAAAGGAGAGCTGCGGGTTTTCCCTTTCCTTTATTTACATTTTCAAATATGACCACTTAACAAAAATGTACGGGCTCACTGGCTTACAACCTTGGCGAATTCATAGGCAGGCCTGGTCGCAAATCAATCACCCAGCTCTGAGTTGTATTTCCTCGTATTGACACACTCTTGACGTTATAAAATGCTATAAACTCAAGTGGACCAATGAGAGCAGCGAAAATCAACATTTTCTTTCTACTGGGCGCGTGCGCGCAAAACGTGATGATGTCAGCACAGTGCGCATGTCCTCTTGACACACTCTAATCAGCCAATCAGCGCGCGAGAATTTACGCAAGTGTGGTACAAGGTAGTTAAAAAACAGAATCGAGTGAACTCGCTTCAGTGGGTCAGGTCGCAGCGCTAAAGAACATTGTTGGTAATTGGTTGGCTCATCACAGCGTGACTCCAAACAACGAGGCATAAACAATGGAGCCTATTGTTCTAGCCAGCCAATCAAAATGACTTTTATTTAGAGCTGACCTCTGATCGCTTTCTTGTTTTTGAACTGAAGTAATGGCGGGTTACTTAAAAAATAAATATTTAAATAAATGTGTAGAATTTTATATGCGGTAGATAGATTCAGATTTCATTTATTCTTTTATTTACATGCGTCATATTATGACATTTGATGTAACATTTGAGTCCAGAAGGTTATTCAATAAAAATAATATAGGATGAAATTTTTTAACACTTTAATTGAGTGCTTAAACGCTTCCATGATTTGATGGTATAGGCCGGACTTTTTCGTACGAGTTTCCCCGAACGCCGCCAGCCTTCCGGCTTGAGCAAAAAAATCAGCGGTCTGCTGATGCAAGAAAGACTCTTGCGGAATCCACCGATTTGCGTAGTCAAGACAACTGCTTTTAAAAAGCACAGGCAACCCAAGCTCACTTTATAATGTTTATATGTGACTTCAATGGTTAATATTTGATTTCTATAAATTTGTGTTTTTAAGAATAAAAATGACTCACCTTGATAACTTGTTGTGTCTTTTATCATTTGGCGGAGTTTGAAGCCATTAGGAAGCGATTTTACCTGGTTTTCGAATTTTCTTTTCCTCACCTATAAGAAATCATTTCTTTTAAAAGAAGAAAAGAAAAAAAGAAAATAAAAAAAAAAAATAAAAGAAGCCCATCAAAATCATACAGACGGACGTTGATGCTAGTATCAAAGTATAATCGAGAAAACAAACTAGAATGAAAGGGTATTCATTGGTCTCTTTTAGAGGCTAGATTCCATCACTATAACGCTGTTCTTTTAACAAAACTGGTCCTTTTTAGAGATCATTTTCAGATTGTCTGACAAGGAAATCTGACCCCTAATGCCCCTCCCCCAGTCCCAACTCCCTACCCCCTAGACAGTTGTCCAATTATTTTAAGGACAAGAATCAATAGTTTAGGCAGTGGAATACCAGTCTTTACTATGTGGAAATTTAAGCCACTMTCATGCATAATGAGAATCTTTGACTCTGGCTTATGTTTTTAGTCAAAAAWTCAGATGTTTCTGTATTCTACCAAGGAACTTCAAGAGTAGAGTGCTAAATGTAAACAAAGAGTTGTATTTATTGTCTCTGCACTGCCAAATTTTAAACAAAAATYCACACCTATGTATGATCGATGATTGSCCTGGTGTTTGCCTGGTGGCCTGGTGTCTTTTTACAAGATAATTTGGCGATTATATATAATTAGCATTATATTATACCAATTAATAATTGTTGCTGTGTTGCATTGTTTTTTTATGATAATTATATAAGAAAATACAATTATCATGACACTAATTTGCTAGAAAACTGACTTTAATATGTATCATTTATAGAGTTTGCTGAAGAAGGCCGAAGTGTCGAAACGTCCAATAAAACAGAAATATCATAGATTCAAGTTGGTGTTTCATTCTACGTATATATATGATTTATAAATTTATATATGTCTTTTGTCACTCTATTGTTTAATCTTAAAATATTCCCTTGTTCCCTTGAGAGACAAACCAAAAATATTTTCTTTTTTTTTTTGGGGGGGGGGGGGGGGATTGTTTCTTTGTTTGCGTGTTGCAAAAGAATGTATATCACAATTAATTATTGCAGGATTGATCGAAGAAAAAGAAACACAAAATAAGTAAATTTATGGTGTTGTAAAAGCTGTTGAAATTTTGTTGCATTGATGAAAGCTCTATTGTTATAAGTGTTACCAAAAAAWATTCAGACTTTGTTTGACCCCCTCCCTGTCCTCCACCATTTTTTTTCTTTTTAAGTCTATTTTAGTATCAACAAGTTCAAAACTCTGACGATAGATGAAAGAACCAAATTGTAAAATGGCCTGTTTTGGCAACTCAGCAAACTCTCAGATTGAGAGTAGAAKTAATATCTTAATATACMAAAAAATAGCTCTKAARGGGMTTTAATTTCGTGCTTTTCCACGTTTTGGTATCTTACCTTACTTTGAAGCACTTGTAGAMTCTTTTCGGYCAATTTCCTGGGTTTTTAAGCTTTAAAATCCCAAAAAACTTCCAGAAACTGTAGCGACAAGAAAAGATGGCGGCCATGCTTATCATCATCAAAATGGACAGGGAGTCCAACACCACAGGAACCCCAAGATAATCATATCTTGATTTTTATTGATATATTTTTCGTTTATTTGTTGTCTTTAGGTTGCTTCGCTCACGTTCTGATGGTTATTTTCATCAAAGATAGAGCGTCAAAGATTATGCGGCTTACTCTCGACAAGTGTGCCTGAAATGATTTCGATCATTATAGTTATGCCATTTATTTGTAAGAAAGTATCTAAGATCAATTAAAGACATTCTAAGAAAAAATGATGAATAATCAGTAAATGAAAAACAGCCGCATCTATTTTCAAAAATTTCTGGACGCAAATCTATGACTTCCCTTCCCATGGCCTAAGCTTAAATTCGGTATGTCAATCATTGCAACTTTATGTATTGCTACTACATTTAATTTTCCTTAAAGTATAGTTCACGAATCTCACTTTCTTATGAATTACGTATTCTCAACGTTCATTTTAAAAGTCGAAAACGAAAAATGCCGTGCCATTTTTCATTTTAATTTCGAACTGTTCATTTCAATTTCTAGAGCAGGAAAATATTTCGTGTTGTGAATACGTATTGCAGCTAGTCGAAAGGCAAATTTTGTTTATTTAGCGAATTGCGTATCGCTATAATGAATGTTACAAATTCGTCATTGATTCGTAATGCATCGAAAGAAGTAGATTTAAAACAGTTTACCGAACAGACATGTGAGTATATTGCTGYKGGGGGTGCAGGGTTRTTCTACGCCGCTATATTCATCTTAATGATACTGTGCATCCGATAYARCTACTGCCCTAARCCCGAAGCTWGTAAGGTGTTATTTCTTGTTGGCACTGCCGTTATGTTACTTCATATTTTCACGAACGACAAATATGAAGATATTCATGACTTGAAAGTGAAACTAGGTGTTGAGATCTCGATCAACATTATAATTGGCATAATCACGCTTTTGATGATCTTGTGGAATTTCAAAAAGCGGCCAAGCCTCAACTGCACTGAAAATTGTCCTATCCGATGTTTAAATCCAGACCATAAAGATGACGAGGTGTACATGATAAAAMAGCTWATTCCTATGAAATTTGTTGGWCTTGTRACTCTCTTAATCGTGATCATTGAAACTGTCTTCTTGGTGAAAACTGTWAARGAAAACCATCCAATGAAAGTACTTGTGCTGGCTGGTAAAACAGTGTATCTGATTGAAAAGTCAATCCAGGCAATCGTTTACTGGTCACTTTGTAAAACGCGGTGTGTGACRGAAGATAAGGTCAACCAAGCACAATTCTACTTCAAAGTGATGTCGTTCTACAATGGTGTAATATGGCTTGATTSGATGGTGAACACTGAGCATGACTTAATCCTTGCCGACGTTAAAGATAGCRGGCAACCGTGGGTTAATATCTTTGGGACACTGTACAAAGCCTGTATCATTGACTACCGCATGATGTTTTGCTTGGTGTACTTCGAGCATGACTTAGCACTGTTTAATCATGAAAACGTGCTTGAGGTAAACAACTCGAAAACTTTACAGAGAAGTGGTTTTGTGAACAATCTCCTCAATTTCACCTCCATTGGATCGTTATTGGGCTTTCTCTGCTGTGTTTTACAGGTATAGTCAATGTAGTAGGWACTGAAACATGTGGGTGCGAGAGATTTTCAGCCTTTTGAGTGTTTTCCCAATATCACAAGTGATTTTTTTTCCATGAACGCAAGAAAGTATGTTGCTTATTACTTTTATATTATAGCATTTTTGTATCMATRCTTTACCGGTGAAATAAACAATAAYATTTGACCAATCAGAGAGCGCGTTCTATGATAGCTATAACATAAATGTTGTTTAACTATACACGTACTTCAAAACCGCAAAACCGCAAAAAATATACATATATAAAATCAMAAAGGGTCGTTCTCTTTATATAAGATCTCAATAATGAATTAACATWTTTAACATATTTAAAACTAGTATTCAAATTTGTGTTATGAACAGATTAATTTTTATTAGAGCCATGCAGTTGTCTTTTGGCAATACCTCAAGTATTTTATCTAATTACGTTATTGCATCATTAATACAAGATCAATTGTTTGAACAATTCCATTTCTATATAGACCGGGGTTTCTCATTGATTGGCTTGGAGTCGGCATTTTTTAGTTTCCTAAAACTAACTACTAACTACTATATATTTCTTCGTTTTTTTCCCAAACAGTTCAGCAGTTTTGCAAACTTCGTCAAAGACTTCGATACTGGTGCATGGATTCATAGCTTGACGATTATAGCTGAATTCATTATCTCCATTTGTTGYTGTAAACTGCTGATAAACTTAGCAAGAAGCAGAAACGGAGGAAGTGACCATAGTGAAAGACCGCACCGTCTTAAACTTGTGGTATGCTATTACTTAAAGCCTAAAGATTAGCTGTTATAAAGAACGATTTAAACGGTAAAATTGTAGCCCGTGCTACTTGTAATAGACGATTTTCCTACGATAAGTCGTAGGTTACGTACGACCTCGGCAAGGCCCATTTAGACGCCACAACTTTTCCCTACGTTACAACTATCGCATGCGACCTGCGTAAGTCATCCTTACGACATGGCTACAGCTGTGTCGTGAGGCTATTAAGCAATTGCTTAAAATCCCTCGACAATTGTAGCCATGTCGTAAGGATGACTTACGCAGGTTGCATGCGATGGTTGTAGGCAAAAGTTGTGGCGTCTAAATCGGCCTTTAAGGATCCTAAAAATCGTGGGTTGGTGATGTCGGATAAAACTTTGGACTGAGATCTAAAAGCTACGCCATTAAATGGTGTCAATTTCCGATGATAATCCCATTTAACTTGTCCGTACTTGATGAAGCTATCCCCAATATCGTTAGGTTTTGGGATCGTTTGTAAACAATGTAAATGAAGTGCAAGGCTTACCGCTAAGTAAGAGAGGGATATTKAGCTAAAAGGTTCGGCTCTCTGTCGTACAGAATTGTTTAATAAGCATCACATACAGTTAACGAGAAGATTGTACATTTTGTTCGCTCAAATTTATAAGTTTTTCTCTTTCTTCTCCTAGTTATGCTGTTTTGGTGCCGTCGGCTTTGCCTACTGGTTCTACGCTGCAGTTTTTGTGACAAGCTGGGTCACATCTAACCATGTTTCAAACGACTATGTCAGTTGGGTATGTGCCAAGCTTTGGTTTCGATKTTGCACAGCTTTCTTTCTAATCTACACATTCAAGCAAACGACCGTTGRAAATATGACAGCCAGGGCTTTTGTCAATGTTAAGAGTAATCACTTTCTTGTTGGATGCTTGGCTCCTGGCCTGTTCTCGGAGTTTCTTGGTGCTGCACTGGACCAGTATGTTGGACCAATTGTAGGGCGATACAAGTATGTGTAACAAAATAGCTTTATCTGTATTTTGGTGGAGCGTATGTATTAATGAATAAGGTTTTGGAAATTATTTTGCAGATTGACGTGTGGGGCGCTTCTGTGTTTGGAGGGGAGTGGAGTGGGGATGAATATTACCTTGCCATCCATTTTCAATTATTTAAGTGATTTGTAGCATGACATACAACAAAACATATTTCRAWTCTTTTAAAATTACATATTTTGGACAACTTGTATTTCTTTTTTTTTGCGCAAATACAATTAATAACTTGTATTTCTTTTTGGTGCATGCATGATCATGCATGACTATTGAAATATTTGGCGGATAAAACTGAAAATTTAGCTTTGAAATTACAATGACATCAAGGAATAGTGTGGGCAACAATAAATTGATTGTAGAAATCTTACTTCTTTATAGGGAGGAAGTCACGACAACAAGCTTCAAGATTTTTCTCGAAGTCGGCCCTGCTCTCTACTTAGCTTTCTGCGTWCATGCAACTCTTCACTTATTTTCAATCCAGAGAAAAATGAAGGACAAGATAAAGGAGGTACAACCAGARCCATACCCCTTGATCAATGAAGATCGTTTCAGTCGACGAATGTGGTCTGCATTACATGAATTCGAAGATCCAAGTAGTACATAGCGATGATGAAGTTTTATTCCAATCAAGTGAATCTTGATTAATWAAACAAGGATAAAGCGCTTGTCCGTAAACCGTTGAAGGAATTGTTAAGGCTGACGCAAACACTTTCAATATTTGTTGAACGGCTGTATTGRACGCTTTTGTTGTGTGATTATTTTTTAGAATTAGCAATGTTAATAACAATTTGTTAGTAGTCTAGGTGTGTTAATTAACAATTAGACCTCGAGGTCCAGTGGACTACGAGCTAATAGCCCATGAGGCCGAGTCCGCGAGGCCGAATGGGCTATCAGCTCGTAGTCCACGAGGCCGAGAGGTCTAATTGTTTTAGTATAAACATACTAATCGGTCAAATAATKAAAACAAATTGAAATATCCTTAAAATAGTTTATTAATGAGATGCCGCCATTTTGATTTTCCTGCGAGTGGTCTATCACAAATTAGACCATTAGTAGAGTAGCCAATCACAGCGCAGTATGAGTGATAGACCATTAGTATGTTTATACTGATTAAATATATATGGGCATATTTAAACYTCACGTCCTCGTGTTTTAGAGATACCTTCAATGGATTACAGTACACTGACTGATTTCACACATATATATCTCCCGCTCCCTCGTTGACAGAGCACAGAACAATGAAAAACCATTTTTTTTTTTAATTTTAGCTAAAACTCAAAATACTCGAAATAACAAATTGCACACGGTTCAATAATTATGCTGTTTTCTCCAAAGTTGGGTACTTTACTTTGTTTTATGGTTAAGATCAGGTTCACGCTGAATAACAGCGTGGAAAACGACGACGCTGTAATATAGCCACGTGCGAATCAATCCGTGAGTAGTGTCAAATCAACTGACCTCCCTGCCAACCCACCATATTAACACGGGGATGGCGAAGTAAACTGAACATTGACTTAGGGTTTTTTTTTTGGAGGGGGGAGGGGTTCTTAAATAATCAATACATAATTCATAAATGTCAGGTGTAGACATATTTTTATTTGATTTGGTGTCTTTTTCCTTTTAAGCAGACGACCATCAAAAAAATAGAAGTCTGAATCACTTTCCTGAGCTGTAAAATCTAAGTAACTCAAAAAGTGTCGCGTTCAACCCCTAGTGGATTGGAAAAAGCTAATGTAACAAAAACTAGACGCTTTAAGAAGGTGAAGTCGGGCTAGCTATAATGTCTAGCTCAATTTGATAATTTTTAATAGAATGTTTAAAGAAAAAATCATACTTAAAGTATACTCATCGAAGTTTTTTGTACATGGACTAACTTACAATTCAAAGGAATCTAAAAAAAAGTAACAATGTTTTACATTTATAAAATTTGGGCTTACTGTTGCAAAAACGCGACTCTACATATAGAAATTTGGTATTGTTTGACTGCGTCTCCCTTAAATGATTCGTCAGCAGTATTATAGTTTTATCGGGAAATTGTATATGCCAGGTCATGTACCAGTAGTTTTAAAATACCATAATGTCCATCAATTTTTTTTATTGTGGTTGAGATTAATAAGAATCTACAAGATAACTAGGAAATTTTTAAGTATCATTATTATCGTGTTTTTATTAGTTTATTAGAAATTAGTTTGGTTTAAGTTCATGACGCAGTTTAGAGATATTCACGTGATCGATATTTGTAGAATAAGCCAAGGTCGTCCTGAGCGGGGAATTCCCCTCAGTGTGGAGTTAATCCATAATTGGTTATTGTTTATAGTTAGTATGTAATTATTATTTGAGTTCGTGTTATTTTGTAAAAGGTATATCAAGCTAGCATTGTAACAAGCAATAGTAGTTAATTCATCCAGAGCAGGGTGCGTAAAACAAGTTTCTCGTCCTTCTCGTTGTCTTCGTTCGTCGTCTCAACTGTTACTGTCTTCCAAGTCTTACAATCTTAAAAGTTATGGTTATCGTTCTTTTAGTGTTGCTGGACCTTTTCTATGGAATTCACTGCCATCTTCAATCAGAGACATTTCTTCACTTGATAATTTTAGAACTGCTCTTAAAACCTTCTTATTTAAACAAACTTCTGATCTGTAACTCTATTGTAACTTTCCTTACC